ATTCTAAACTGCTTACTGTTTTCTTTCTCTTTCTGTATTCTGATCAATGGTAGCAAATAGTTATCAATCTATTCATCCTTTAATATATTTGTTCTTCTTTATTCCATTGTGGTGGCCTACCTTGTCACCAATTCAATGGAATAAGCATTCCACCATTCCCTAATTTAATCCTTTAGAAGACTGAGTTAATAATTTTATTCAACTGTGGCATCTTTCAAAGAATCCCAGCTCTGCAGGCATTAGGTAGTCCTCTATCCTCTAAAACATGGGTGTCAAACTTTCCATGTCACATTGCCATCACATGACATATCGCGATGTTTTTTCCCTTGCTGGAGCTGGGGTGGGTATGGCCTGCACGTGATGCATCTGGCCCATGGGCTTCCAGATTTAATAGATTTAAAGAGTTGGAAGGGACCTTGCAGGTCATCTAGTCCAACCCTCTGCCCAAACAGGAGACCCTACATCTGCCTCTACCTAGGATTGAATCCACAACCTCCTGATTGTGAGGCAAGAGCTCCACCTCTAGGCCACCAGCAGCTGGGCCACCAGTTTGACACCCCTATTCTAAAAGAAACCCTTCTTCCCTCTTTTCTTAAGTAGCTGAAGGGTCTGTGAGATACATAGTCTTCCCACAGAAGTTAAGTACAGGGCTTATAAAAACCAGTTAGCACTTAGTTTCTATGATTTACATCCACTGGACATGCTCTCCTATCTTTTTAAATCACGTGGAAGCATCATTTTTTTTATGGTCAGCCTTTTCCATAAAAATATGTGATTGCCTTCCATAGGCCTTTTGTATATTCAGATATATGTGTGTGTGTAGGTATATATCTATATACACACACATATATAGAATAGAATAGAATAGAATAGAATAGAATAGAATAGAATAGAATAGAATAGAACAGAACAGAATAGAACAGAATAGAATAACAGAGTTGATGGTATTAACACTTCACGTGATCTTGATTCTATCCCTCATGTGGTCTAAACTCAAGCTTGGCCTTGAAAAGAACACCTGGTTGTCTGTGCAATTGTTCCCTCACCCACCCACAGATGTAATGGAGATATTTGTCAGTGCAGTTCACTCCCTGGAATGTTACTGTGGACCTCCCAAGGTGTCACTTCTGTGGTTTGTATGGAAGCCAGGAACCTGAACTGCATGGACAAGCATCTACAAGCAGCTATGTAAGATGGTACAACTTACGAGAGGCAGCAGCAGCCACACTGGAAAATATGTAAGGAGTTATGCCAATATCTTTGACCAAGATGTGAACAACCACAAAGCAGAGGCTAAACTTAGAATAATGTGAATAAAGGGGTCTTAATTCCAGTATAAACTATGGCTTGGTCCAAAGTATATTTAGAGAAGAAAGTTCTAGGTCCGGTATGGAAGGTTTGTCCTCACAATGTTGCTGAACAATAATACTTAGTAGTGCTGGCCTCAATGATCCATTAACAATCATGATTCTGCATATCTGGAGTGTCACAGATTCCCTTCTCTTTTTCAAACTGATCCAAAATGACAATAAAGAAAGATTTGAAACCTGTCTAAGAATGGAAGATTACCAAATTAAATGCAAACAATGGCACTTTTGATACGATGCTTGTTAATGTTTACAAAAGATGTGGGGAGGTTATGACCTGGGGTGTCCAACTTTGGCAATTTTAAGACTTGCAGACTTCAGCTCTCAGAATTCCCCAGACAGCCATGGAATTATGAAAGTTGAAGTCCACAAGTTTTAAAGTTGCCAAGGTTGGGCACACCTGCTATAACTCATCACATCATCTTGAACTGCAACTAGTTGTAGTACTGTGGTAGCCTAATCCTGTAATCCTGTTGTAGTCCAACCTCTGGAGATTTTTAAGGTTATCAAACTTGATTTATATCATTGGACTAATAACACGTTTGAAGCAGGATATTCTTATGAGGGGTTCAGGGTTGATAGCAAGGCATAACTCTTTCATCCATATCATAGTTGAGATCCCAATCTAGGTGTTGCTTTGATTGGGGTGGAGATAATAATATGATGTGAAAAAAAGAAAGAATGAATGAATGAATGAAAGAAAGAAAGAAAGAAAGAAAGAAAGAAAGAAAGGAAGGAAGGAAGAAAGAAAGAAAAAAAAGAAAGGAAGATGAAAGGAAGGAAGGAAGGAAGGAAGGAAGATTTAACATTACTGCAATGTTACATTACTTTTCTCTAGAACTGTGTCAACATTTTTGACTAATCTAAATTATTCCACAGGCAATCTTGCAACATTTGAGTTTTAAGATTTCCTTCACTTATCATCATGAATATCCTGAGACAGTATTTCATAAGCTATATTGATGAACAATGGATGATTATGACTGTGCTTCATGGTAAAAAAAAAATTAGAGGTGATGAATGAAAGATGATCCACCTTTTGACTTACTAAACGAAGTCAAGGGAGCTGGTCTTCGCTGGAATTGTCATTAAAAAGAAGGCAGAGAGCTCACGTTGCTTTCTGCAGGAAATCCTATAGCATTTTGGATTCCTTAGACAATTTGATGGGGAGCAGGAATCCCCTGGAGCATGGATTCCTTGCAGCTTTCATCAGCCTTCATGAGTGCAAAATATTCCCACCACTTGGAAGCTGGGTATACTTGCCTAAAAAGAATAAATCAGGTGGATGGTATCGTAGATAAAAGTTGGGATGTTCATTCAGAAGTCAGCATTATTTATCTTATTATAACTGCAGGCATCTTTCTTAGATCACCTAGTCAAAATAAATTTTAGAAAGACCTTTCAGAAAGACATCTACAACACATACACACATCCCTATCTAATGAAAGATTGTGTACTCCAGTATTAACATTTATTGTTGGTTTTGTAAAATAATCTACCATTCATTAGTATAAAATAAAACATCATATTTATACAGCACAGGAAACCAAAATAAACTAAAACATATCTTATTTAATAGTACTACTCCACTAATTAAGAATTGCCTGCCTGATTTAAATCAGCTCTGGTGACCAATCAATCAAAAAAATTTTATTCAACTAACAAATAAAACTTTACGGTTCTACTTTATGTCTTTTTCACAAATATCTGATGTAATATTATTTAAATTTCCATTTTGATAATTTCACTATATCCAACAATGACCTGACAAAAACCTAGAAGCAATTTTGAAATATAAGACCAAAGTCATTTCATGCTTATAGCAATTTTTACACGTTCTCTAAGGTCACTGGACTCTGACTGTGAACTACAGCACATTCTGTTCCCAAAGCCTCATGTAGGCATCTAACAATTGTTATGTCTTAAATCCTTCTTTCTTTTCCCAATGACTTCATGAGCTAGCAATCTGACTTCATGAATAACTGCAATAAATGTGCAATGTGGAAATATTGTTACAAGTCTACAAGAGCATTCCCGGACTTTGTAAAGGATTGTGTTGAAAGATAAGTACAAGTTATAATTATTCTGAGGCCTTAAACAAAATCTTGTTTTGAACTCATTCATCCAGTTTTTCTTTCTTTTTAATTTTGGTTGGACAATTATAGGAAAGCACTTAAAGATGTGTGGACTTAAAGTCCCAGAATTCCTCAGATAGCAAGGCTGCCTGGTGAATTCTGGGAGTTGAAGTTCCCACTGGGGAATTCTGGGAGTTGAAGACCACACGCCTTCAAGTTACCAAGGTTGAGAAGTACTGATATACAAGGTACTTCATTTTCACTGTACTGATATGCACTCTCCTATATACAGTGGTGGGTTTCAAATAATTTAACAACCAGTTTGTCTGGCCTAATGACCGGCTGGGTAGGCATGACTGGGTGGTCATGTGACTGGATGGACGTGGCCACGGTGGGTGTGGCACGGGACTCATGTGATGCTAAGGCAGGACTTCCCTGAGATCCTCCCTCACTCTCATTATACAGGTAATCCTCCAGTTACAAATCTAATACAAATGTGTAAAATATTGTAAATGAATAAAATTAGAAATAAAGGGATGATAAAGATAATGATAATAAAGGATGAGAAAAATGGGGAATCTATAAAGTAGAAAGTAAGAGGAACGAAACTGATATGTAAACGCATATTGTGTGTTTGTGTTCTGTATGTTGTGTTGTGTTGTTGTAAAATTAATAAAAAAAAATTAATAAAAAAACCCAAAAACAAATGTAATAGAGCCTGCCAATTATATTTGTAACCTGGGGATTCATTTGATTGAATCACATTAAATGAATATGATCACTCCCTGCTTTCCCAAATGCATTTGTTAATCAAATGTGCAGGTCTTTAAATGTACATGAGGTATCTCAGGCTGGGGAACAGCATGTGAGGCCTAGTGCTGGAGCAGACCATCCAAGTCCTCCCCCAATCCACTGAGATACCTCATGCTCCCCTGGGGTACTCACAATTGCTTCCCCCACCCCATTCTGCCCACTGGGTCTCCGCAGACTGGGCCTGCTTTGCTAGCATCTCAGATTCCACTTACTCCTCCCTACCCCATTTCCCATGGATTACTTATTTTTTGAAGATCTCCAGAGGTCCAGAAGACCCACTGGCTGACCCACTGGCAGAGCAGCCAAATTGTTTTATTCAGATGATGGTGAAGCTGTAAGAATGTGAAATCTAAGGAAAACATTTTCACCACCTTCTGAGTAAAAGACTTCAGCTGAGGCCATGTGGCCAATAGGCCTAGGCCTGGACTGGGCCACAGCAGCCTCCTGCTTCAGGGACTGAGGCAGCAGCAGCAGCAAATCAACGAGGAGGTTACTTCCTTTGTCTCATCGGGCTGAACTGCAAGGCCTTTCTTGATTGGCTGCCACGCCCCAATCCCTGAAGCTGCTCATTCGAACTAGCCAGCAGCAAGCAGACTGGGCCCAAACTAAGCCTGACCAGACTGGGTCCAAACTAAGCCTGCAGCCCCCCTGATGGCAGAGAACCCGAAGTTTTTTATTCAGATGGGGAAAGCTGTTTTCCTTACATATCACTTTCTTACAGCCTCACCAGCTTTTGAATAAAAGACTTCAGCTTCTCTGACACGTGGATCAGCCTCTTCTGCAGCTCTTCGAAAAGTAAGTACAGTAAAAGCCATGGGAAATGGGGTGGGGAGGGCTGGATCAGGCCCAGGGACCCTCCATTTACAGGAGGCCCTGTAATAGGCCATTCGTGCTGGCAAAGGGGTGAAGGAAGGCTCACCAGGCAGGCAGGCAGGTAGCTGGATCACGTGGGAGGCAGTGGAGAATGGCGAAAGAGGGCTTGGCAGGGAGCTGGGCCGCGTGAGAGGCTGGGGCGAAGGCAGGCAAGTGGGCTCGGTTGTGGGGGGCATGTGGTCAAGGCAAGTGAGCTAATGAGTGAGGGAGCTAGAGAACAGCAGCTGCTATGCCATGGCCAAGACAGGTGAGGCAAAATAAGGTGTGATTGGGAGGGGCAGGGCTGGGTGGGAGGGCTGGGGCTGGGGCTGGGTGGGCAGCCACTGGTGTGATTAGCCAGTTCTACGAACTGCACAAAAATCTAACAACTGGTTCTCCCGAACCGGTCTGAACCGACTGAATCCCACCTCTGCAATATAATATCCTAATGCTTTGAGGGCAAATTCTCATTATCACTGAATCTACTATATATTATTTTTATTTCATTTAGTTCCTGTTTAATTCACTATCTGTCTGAGTTGAGTACACAAATATGCAGTGACCTGGTGAAGATGTGCTCTTCTCAAATTCCCAACCATGATTGTATAACAGGTGTGTACATTTCCTTGCTAATTAGGCACAAATTTTCATCCCCCCTCCTCTTTTCACAGTTTGTATAGTATTGCATTACATTTACACTTACTTGTGATTTTAAAACTCTCGGATTTGCCTAATGTCTTAAACCAACGTGTTTTTTAGCATGGGTTATTGAATAAGTAACTATCTGGCTTCACACAACTCCCTAAGGAACTGAAGTATGATTTACAAAAAATAGTGGCTACGTTCACTTAAAACATTAAGTTATATCTAACAAAATACATTATGTCTTATGTAGCACTATCATCATTATCATCTTGACTTCATCAATTTGCCAAATCTAGTTTCTCTGTAACTAACATTCACCAGGGTTAAACAACACCATAACTAATCCAATAAGGACAATACATATGATGAATGGGGGACTTTATAAATTTTTTATGAGCAGGTTTGTTGCTATCATATGACAATCTAAATACTTTTCACACAGCTTCTGCGCAAAAAGATGTTTTTCTGTGTATGAATGTTTTTAAAAAACCTACAAGTTTCTCTTTCAATATCAGGTTATCAATGGCCTGGTCACTTTGTTTGAGACCCACAACTCCCCCCCCGCCAAGGAATATAATCTGACTTTTGCAAGCATTAAGCTTCTCTCCTTGTTTATTTTGTTGAGAATGCTGCCTTTACTAAATTTCATATATGCATCCTCATAATTGCATTTAGAAATTCAATTCCATTTGTCTGGATGCAACAAACAAGCTGAAGTCAGAGTGAAATACAAGGAGATTTCCTTCCCTAAATATTTACTTCAATTAGACAGTCTGTTAAATTTGCCTTCCATCCGCTTTGGTGCCAGTCTGTTGCCAATTTGTTTCTCATTATTCAACACAGTGGAAAATTATTACAGTGAGATAAATGTGGAATCCACAAGGCACTGATGAATCTGTCATCAATTACAGTTGTTTTCCACAAAATCTAAGCTTTTATGATTTAAAGGGATAAAGAATGAATTGTGCTGGTTTGTACCCTCTAGGAAAATGAAAAGAGGGAAGTAATCTCTGATTATTTGCGATTAAGAATAAAATACAGAATAATTTTTATAATGGGCAGTAGAGTTTCATGCCACAAGATTTGATATGGCAGAATGCTAGAGAAATACTTGAAACAATCAAATTAAAAATAATTACTATTACCATCTTGACCTTTAGACCTTCCTGCAGATGCGCCTGGATAGGCATGTGGCTTTGCTTGCACAGTGATTAGCAACCACATAAAGCACATTGCTCATGTGTAATGTATGATTTGGGTAGTAGCCTGCATCTACCTGAATCCAGCCCTTAAAGGTTTAATGTCATGCATATCTTTGTATTCTTCTCAACTCAACAGAAATTGGAAAGAAATTATGTAAATGTCTAAGATACGGCTGTCCATCTTCTGAATAGATAGGGATCAAATTTGACATGGTGTGAAAAACTAGCATATATCGCAGAGGGAAAAAAAATTCCAGCATAACTTTATGAGAGGCCAGTCAGGCGATGTCTTGGAATGTTGCTGACTGCTCCATTCTTAAGTTCCCCTCAGTCCTTGGATTTATTATGAAGGAGTTGAAGGACCTCCAAAAACCATGTGTTGCAGCTTTCCCTACGGTGTTTCCGCTGCAGTGAATAGCAATAGCAATAGTATTTAGAGCAGGGGTGTCACACTTGTGTCATCACAGTGGTGTCACATGACGTATAGTGACTTTTTCCCCCTTTGCTAAACCAGACATGGGCGTAGCCAGTGCGTGATGCATCCAGGCCACAGACTGCGAGTTTGACAGCCCTGATTTAGAGTTATATACTGACCCATAATGCTTTACAGCACTCTCTGGGAGGTTTATGATATCAGCATTTTTTGCATATTGCCCCCAACAATCTGGGTCCTCATTTTACCAAGTTCAGAAGGATGGAAGGCTGAGTCAATCTTGAACCCTGTCAGGATCAAACTCCAGGCTGTGGGGCAGAATTTGCCTGCAATGCTGCACTTAATCACTGGGCCACAGGGCTCCTAAATGGCAATTCTCATGACATGTGGTCAAAGTTAAGATACCAGGGGAGGAATGTAACTCTTTTCTTGTATCTAATGCTCCTGTTACTTCACAGAAGGAAATTACTGGTAAGAACAAAATTCATTTGCCAAATAGCAGACTTAAAAATAGTGGTGGATTATCATCAGGATTACAAGTGAAGAGAAGTGATTATCCTACTTATCCCAGCAATGCCTAATTACAGATTTTAAAAATGAAAGAAGTGTAATATTAAGTCATATATTTAACGTTGCTTGTAATTCAGTGTTAAACTGTGGGACACACAGTATTTTCAAGATGATGACCCATAGGTGTTTTCACTGAACTCAAAGTGGATGTCATGAGAACTAAAACTTTGAAACATTTCTTGCTTTCTTCGCAGCTTTCATCAGAGCTGGAACAAGAGGCCAGGATGGCTGAACAAGATCCAACTCTTTTCAAGGAGCTCATCAGTCAAGACTCAACACTGCCAATTTTATTCTCATTTGAGCTGCATTTCACGAAACAGCCTTCCTCAACAGGCTTCTTTTTGGATTTGTGTGGTGACCACTTTTATCAACTCCACCAGCACAACTCTGTGTTGTGAATTATGAGATTTTTAGTCCAACGGATGTGAATAGTACCAAGTAGGTGAAAGAGGCTATACTTATTTTTTTGACCAATTATTTTTTAAATGGAATTTCCAGTGCTAAATATAAGTAGCTTGTTTATGCTCTTAACAATGATTGCATTTTAATGTTTTAATATCAATTGTAAACAAGGAGGGCATTTGATGCTAAATAGCTCCCTAGAATTTATCTTTAGCACTGGATAGTTTAATTTCATTGATTTGAGACTAAAGGCCATGCATTCATTTTCCTTTAATGGAAGTAAAAATGGCAAAACTCTGAGAATTTTACCCCCCCCCCCTTTTTTTTTTTTTTTTGGAAAATTCAGGCAATTCTCACAGGTTGCCCTTCTCAGTTTCAACATGTATGGTGGTCAGAGAGAAGGAGGAGAAAGAGTTTCTGCCTGCCTCTGTACATACTGCATAACCTGGGTAGGTTATATCTTTATGTGTCTCTCTATATGAACCCCCGGACACTGCATTTGCATGTTGATAGTTGTAATTCCCAAAGATCTTATCTTGTACTTGTAGCCTTGGCCCAAAAGTTAGCACATTCTTTCTATGCACAGATCATTATATATGTGATGAAATGTATATAGCGTGCTTCTGGAAGAAATGCTTTCTATTCAAGAAACATATGAGAAATGGAAAGATACTGAGTTATGGTCTGAGGGCTGGGAGTCAGATCTCCTGCTGGCTCGAGAAGATCTACTTTCCCCCCTCATACTTTGGTTCCCTGTTAACGTATTGATGTGGCATTTCTGTTATTTACCTCTTTGAGTCCTGATTGCTCAAGAGGTTAATGTTGGAAAAAGTTTCCATTTCAATTTACAAATTACATTTGCATTAGATATTTTCTTTTGACATGTCAAATCACAGCACGACTTTCTAATCAGAAGATTCAATGGGCTATTTTTAAAAATGCAATCCGCGATAGGTTGAGATTTAACACACTAAGTATCCATGGATGCAGATTCAGCTTTGAAATATTACATATCCAGTTTTGCCAATCAAATATTATATACACATGAAAGCACTTTTAAGGAAGGATGAGCCAATAAAACTACTAAAAGGCTATTGTGATACATTAGCTGAGCCCTTTGCAGATAACATCACTTATATTCACTCAGAGTTAGAACTTGGCTAGACAGAGTCTGAAATAATGCTAAACCAAAAGAGTTGCTCTCTTCTTGACATCAGCTTTGGTATCTGCAGACTAAATCCCTACCCCACCTGGCTTTTGAGTGCAGCTTGAATAGGGTTTGGACTTTGGAAGATGAATAGATATTCATTATTAGGAGGAGGAGAGGTGGCAATGTTGATGCACTCCTTCCTCAAGAGGCTGACCAGGAACCTAGCTAGAGTAGACAACTATGGATCTGTCTATAAGCTTCTCTGGGCAGATTGTTGAAAAAGTGGTACAGCAGCAGTCACAAAGGACTCTGAGAGAAGCAGAATACAATGGTTCCTCAGTACTCGACAGTTTCAAAACTCATTAAATTTGTACTTGAGGCATTTTGACGGGGAAATATTGTCCTGATAGTCTTCGTTTGTTTGGTTCCCCAGACTCTATGATAGGAAAAGGAGGATGGCTGTGGAGAACAGGAAGGAAGTTGGCCATGCTGGGAAAGTCGCTGCAAAAAGAAGAGAAGGATGATTACAGAGGGCAAACAGGAAGTCAGCCATGCTGGGAAGGTCACTGACATAGGAAAAGGGACAGACAGGAAGTCCTTCTCAATGGAAGCAAAGGATCACATGGCAAGTCATGTGGTTTGTTTGGCACTCATTGTTTTTAGTACTTGTTGCGCCTCCTGGAACCAAATTATGACAAGTACCGAGGTACATTGTACTGAGACCTTTTTCAGCCAAGATTCAGGCCTGGGCATGAAACAGCAGCAGCTTTGGTTGCCCTCATTGATGATGATTTGTCTGGATTGAGGTAATTGGAAAAGAGGGCAAGCTGGTTAAATACTATCATTGATGACAGAAATGTGAACTTACAAGAATTCAAAGGACCAATTACTGACAAGACAATCCTGGCAGAAGTGGCTGAACCATGGGGAAACAGCAACTTTAGCTCTAATTTTTTTTTTAACATTCCTGCTGTAGAAACCAGCAGGAACCAAATCTTGATCAACTTGTTCTTGAACTCTTTGACAGCTGAAATTTTGGAATGGTGTTTCATATAAAAATTTATTTTTCATTGCTTTTGTGTTCCTATTAAAGAGTTACTCTATTTTGTGTGTGTGAAGAAAATAAACCAAAGCTCTGTCCCAGCTATGTCATGCTGTTTTACAAGGTCATAACTTGATTGCCTTGCTGGAATAACACAAGAACTCTTTGTTTTTAAAGCCCCTCCATTTGGGGTTTAGATCACTGCCATATAAAACAGCAGGATGGTACAGTTCCTCCTAAAAAGTGTTAAGTCACCCACTTATTGTCCAACACCTTGATTTCATGTGATGTAATATTTATATTCTTTAAGACACCATATAAATGGGTTTGCAATTGTAACACTTAATAATTTACCCCGTGTGAAGCAACTAGGAATTCTTAGAAAAATCCTGCTCGTTTAATTTATTGCCCCCACCCTTCCCACTTATATGATCTGTTACCTTGTTGCTGTTTTAAGCCAAATGCTTACACTGAAAGTTTTAAAGTTTAACAATAGTTGTCCAATGGAATCACCTTAGGAAAATGCTGGTGCTAAATATTAGCCTGGGAGTTAGCACCACAAGGTTTTCCTGATGTATTTTTTTTTTTTTTGTAAACTATTGACATTCCACTGGCGAACAGGAAAATGAATGACTGCTTGTTTCCATTCCCACTCAAGATGGATTATGGACCTTGGCAATTTCAGTGTTGCATTAAATTGGTGGCTGAACAAAGCAGGCAGGTGCGGTAGAATCCTCCTCAGTTCAGGGGTGGGAGAGCAGAGGACTTTTATACTCTGTCCCTTGGCCACTCTATATTTTGTTTAAGAAGTGATTGGCATCCCCTCTCCCGCTCTTCAGTTGTGAGATGAACAAATGCTGATTGTATAGCCAAGTAAGAATGTTTCCTTCCTCTGTTTCATTGGCTTTTGCTTGGAATTCAACATGAAGAAATGAAACAGTTTTTCAGCCATTTCACATTCATTCCATGCACCTTGAGGACCTACTTCAAGGGCTTCCTGTTTCACTTGGCTTTCATGGAGTAAATAATACCATGAGTGGAATTTGTGGGAGGTAATTTCTGCTCTTCTTATTTCCTTTAAGTTGGCTGTCTTCCTGACTGCCGTTGTAAGAATGGTAAGATCCAGCCCTGTCCAAATATAAATCCACACCCCAGTAGCCAGGAGATACTGTTAGCCCCATATGGCATATTTACTCAAAAAATACTTGGGTTATCAACAATCTCCTCTGTTGTAATGGATTGCCTTTTCTTGGACACCTGTTTAATTCTCTATCACAGCACCTATTCTCCGGAAAAACATTGCCTCAGAAATGCATACACCTACCATCTGTTGTCTGTCTGCCTGCCTGCCTGCCTGCCTGCCTGTGTACCTATTTACCTACCTATCAAGCTACCTATCATCCTCTCTCTCTCTCCACACACAAACTTAAAAGTCTCTTATGATTTTGCTACATTTCCTGTGAAAAAGGAGTGATAGAAAATATATAATGTGTATTATACTTCATTCCTTCGTATAAAAACCAATGACATGGGATCATGTACCCTATTTACACCTTCACATGTCTGTTACGTATTAATTATACATTTAATAATAACAAATGTGATATTATACATATATACAACAGTTTATATGCTGTTACATATAAACTGGGTTGACAAAATCAGAAATGAGAAGGTGATAAGCCACCTGGGAAAGCCAAGGGAAATCATCAAAACCATTAAAAAGCGAAAGTTAGAATATTTTGGACACGTGATGCGACACGTTGAAAAATATGCCATACTTCACTTAATCCTCCAGGGAAAGATTGAAGGCAAATGAGGTCCAGGCAGAAGAAGAACACCATGGCTTCAAAATCTAAGGGACTGGTTTGGACAAAACACAGCAGCACTTTTTTGTGTGGCTGTTGATACAAATAGGATTGTCAACATGATTGCCAATGTCCAATGATGGATATGTCACAAGTAGAAGAAGATATTATACATTTTGACATGTTACACTGGTTATCAGGTTAAAACTTTCTTCAACAAGTGAAATCACCTATGACTATAAAACATAGTGTAGTTATATATAATGTTTATATATAAACATTATTTATACTGCTGAAGAATTGGAATTTTGGCTTCCACCATATTCTTCTCCAATGGTTTTTTTTAAAAGATTTTTTTAAAAACAAAAATTAGTGGGAAATTTGTATGTTGTAATGAAAGCACCAGCCTTCAGCATCATTTTGAATTTCAACACTATGGGTATCATGTAAGACCCATAGATATTACTAGAAATAAAAAGGGAGGATGACTTTGCAAGTAGACCCCTTTGTCCAAGAAAGAAAGCTGGAAATTATTAAAAATACTAGGCATGATGGACTTCCTTACCCATTTGTCTCCTGGAAAATGGGCCAATTATGATGGGTCTCACTCTACATTGGAGCCATTTTCTAAATCATCAGGGATGCTCCATAGAAGTCATTTTGCAAGGTTACCTACGTCATGGTCTCAAATGTGCCTACAAAATATTGGAGAACTCTGTAGCATAAAAGCAATATGGGATCACCAATTCTTTTTGTTACGTAATTTATTTTTCAGAACATAAACTCGAGGCTGAATTAACCACTAAAGTCAAATTCAGGAATGAAACCTGTTCAGTACCAACTACCATGTAACAGACTTAAAGGGATGCAGTTTTCCTTCATGCTCCTCAGGTATGATGGATTTCAATATATAGAATTTTCAAATTTTAAAAATTTTAAAAAACAGAAATTTTGTTCTGGCAATGTGGTGCTTGCAGATACCAGTGTTCCTCCAGAAAACTCTTCTACTGCTTACCTGAATTTATTATTAATAAGTCATAAATTATTAATAGTTATTAATGGTTAATACATTGATTAGTTTATTAATGTTATTAATAGTTATTAATAAATTGATTCTCTATCACCTGAACAATTATTTTAAATGATCATCAACCAATAAATAGTTGCAAAAGAAAGCTTTCTCCTTAATATATTTATTTACAGTAGAGTAATACCTTCACATTGTTCCAATGCCTAGGGAGCATCCTAGAGACCAGTTCACTTTTTAGGAAAAGGGTGTTTTGTTACTGGACAATCTTTCATTTAAGCCATGGGTGTCAAACCCGTGATGTTTTGTGACATTTTTTTCCCGGAGCTGGGGAGGGCATGGCCTGTGTCTGATGCATCCAGCCCGTGGGCCGCCAGTTTGAGACCCCTGATTTAAGCTATTTTATGAGGGTACCCTCAAAATTCCAAATCTTCACAGTATATCTGAATGCTAGCTGTTCTGTCCCCAGAACATTTGCTGCTCTGGCAGGACAGGGTTAATTTCTTTCTGTTTCGCTAGCTTATAGGTAAAGTTTAGCAACCCTGGCCTTACTAGCCAAAATAGGTGCAGCATGTTCCCTTCACATGTTCCTCGTCACTTCCGTGTTTCCCTGAAAATAAGACCCTGTCTTATATTTTTTTTTGAACCCTGAAATAAGTGCTTGGCCTTATTGCCATGCACTCAAAAGCCTGATTGGGCTTATTATCAGGGGATGTCTTATTTTGGGGAAAACAGGGTTCTTGTTACAAAGCATGGCTGGGAAAGAGAAGGGAAGTGAGGCCATCCCAGCCTCTCCATCTTCCATGTAGAGAAGCTGCTCACAGTTCCTCAATTGCAATCTTGAGTTATCTGGAGGTATCCGCAGGTGAGCAATGTATTGGTTCTTACCCTTAGGCGATTTAGGCCCTGTAAGGCAGGGGTGTCAAACTCAAGGCCTTTAGATACTGTAGGGCAGGGGTGTCAAACTTAGATCTGGCCTGCAGGGTTGCCCTGGAAACAGCAAAAGTCTGGCCCAAAGTGTCTCTGCCAACGAAAACAAAGCTCAGGAGGGCTGCCCAAGCTCCATTTTCATTGACAGAGGGTTACAGGAGGCCATCACAGCTGAAAACAGAAATCGGAAGCCCATTTTCACTGGCAGAGCGCTCTGGCCACCACAAGCACCACTGACATGAGTGATGTCAAGCTGGCCACACCCCTGGCCATGCCACCCCCAAGATCAAACACATGCAGCCTTCAATGAAATTGAGTTTGACACCCCTGCTATAGGACATAGGGTAGTTATACTTTTTAGCCTTGACAGTGGATAGGCCATGTTATAGCTAGGAACACATGCTTCTTTTATGAAGCATAGCTACTACTTATTATGTACATATATTCATACTTATGTGTATCTATTTATAAGCCATTGCTTATTTTTTTAAAATATAGTTTTAGCTGAACTTGCAGCATGAAATACTGTCTCCTTTGTTGAATGGCAGGAAAGCTTAACTGCTTGGAGACCTTTCTGTAGAGCCACAGGGTTACGGATTACCGAGTCCAGGATGCTAGTGATTCAACATCCAGGATATCTTTAAAATGAATTATGTACTCAGGGAGGCATTCAAATGGATATAGATGCCCAGGAGCATGAGGCTGAGGATCCCAGTTATACTATTTCTCAGTTATGCCTGACAAATGTGTTTTTAAATATGAATAAACTTGTTACACAGTTCATGTTTTATTTAATGTTTTGCATTATTCATAATTAATTTCAGAATACAGCCTACAGCTCAGGTATGTGTGTTTGTATGTGTGTGCGTGCGTGCGTGCGTGAGAGGGAGAGATGCTGGAATTAATAATTCTGAGTGAGAGATTGGGGTAGATTTCTCATATTGCTAGGTTGCGTTGCTTCCATAATGTAATCTGGCTCTGTGCCCTGGAGGGCTCTTTTCCAACAGACAGAGTCTTATAGACATGGTGATAGCTTCCCACAGCTACTTCTGCCTGACTTGGGAAAAGGCAGCTGAAATGCTTTTGCCAGGAAAATATACACAGCTACATTTCCCACATGTGTGTTGTTATGACATCACGTCAATCTGCAACAGTTTACAAAACTGATTGGCAATCCCAAGAGCTCTTAAGCTTCTGCAAAGGACTTGTGCTAGTCTAGTGGAATTTGGGGTGTGTCCTCCTTCAATTTCCTAACCAGTTAGCTCTCTGGCATGTGCGGACTGGATCCAAAAGTATATTTTTGCCAGAAGAATGAATACCAGTGGTGGATTTAATT